TCGGTCGTAGCATTGAACTTTCGACCAGTCAGTGACTTGAGATTGTTCAGATAGGACAGAACCCTTACTGTAGGCAATTTTCTGTATAAGTTGAAAAATAAAGTAAACAAAATGAGGATTACGAGGAGTAGATAAGTCACTCAACACAAAAGCAACAAAAACGAATGTTTGTGAATATGATTTGTCCGAATGCGAACAGAAGTGAAAATAATTTTCGCGATAGTAATCATCGTTCGATTTGTGTGTGAGACGGCTTACCCCCCGGTTCCCAAACTTAAATGTGTAATTTTTTAGGAGGCTACACCTAAAACTCAAAGGTCTAATCCACAAGGCAATGGAGTGAAGATGCCACAGGCATTCAGAGTTTGACAACGCTTTAACCAGCGACACCCTCTGATATGAATCATACCCACCAAGTGAAATCAAAAGACAGAAGCGAGGAGGTTCGAAGATATATTTGATAGGCTATCAATATATTGAGGATCGTCTGATCTAATCTGGCTAGTGATTACAAGGGTTGTTGAACACGACGTTTCCACTCGTGATCTGGTGCGGATGCATAACCGAGAGCTTTCATCTAGGTGAGTCGATTAAAACTAATGTGGTCAGCGTTCAATGTCGAAGATTTACAGAGTTATTTATTTTGGGGATTTGTTTACCGCTACATATCACTTTTCCCCCTAGTGGGGTAGTGATGACCCTAAGACGTGGCCAGTCAGAAGCTTAAACCCAACGAGTTTGTCGTTGGTAAACACTCTGCTGATAGCTTGTGGAGTTTAGCAGCGTCTAGTCGTCTTTCCTTACTATAAGGGATCATGAATTGCAATGTTGTAAAAAAACAACGTACAATGAAAAATTTGATTCCTCGTAAACCTCATTGTTCTTTTTATCGTCTTTTCCAGCCTTCCTTGAAAGGAAAAAAAGAATATGTAAGTGCATGTCGAAATAAACTCGTACGCGCTTTAAGACAAAGTGGGAGAAAAAAGGAAAATAAACTCATGTACATGTGATAGCGTAAAAGCGATTTTTACGAAACAGCTTTTTTGGATTTTTTAAAAGAATTTTAATACACATATATTGGCAAAATAATAAATCTATATAAATATGAGCATATCAAAAAAATTTTTATATTATATATAATGCCATGGAAAATCGAGATGAGACAACATGTTAACTAGTGTCTTACATACAATAGTCGTTCAAATGTTCTGGAAATCTTACTCTTCTTCCAGAACGCGTTGTTTTAAGTTTATTTTCAGACACTGTCAACGTATCATAGTGTGTGTTGACTGTCGTTTGATGTGTTATAAGTGAAGGAGTCGTGTCGTGCGATTGTACCGAAGGAAGACCGACGTGAATAGGATTTCCTTCTAAATATGCTGCTTTGAGGCGATCAAGGCTGATGCTATCGTTGGTTCCGTTCTTATCGACTATACAATACTTGGGTTTGCGTTGAACAACTTTGAAGGGTCCTTCGTGTGTTGATTCGAGAGGTCGTCGATGTGAGTCTCGACGAACGAAAACGTGTGTAATATATTGTAACTCAGCTTGAACGAAAACATCAATTGATTGCGATAGAGTGGAAACAGATTTAACTGAACGCACTGCGTTTGTAAGCCTGTTCGTGTATGAGGTTAGATCCATGTTCATTGAAGAGGGCGAAGGATCCACGAATTCTCCTGGAAGTCGAAGTGTCTTTCCATAAACCAGTTGGGCCGCAGTGTATCCAATGTCATCTTTCACCGCATTGCGAATACCTAGTAAGACGAATGGAAGAGCCTCAGTCCACTGAGAAGTGTTTGCGGCTGATAATGAAGCCTTTAGTTGTGCGTGAAAGCGTTCTACTAACCCGTATAAGAGTAAGAGGTTTGTGGTCAGTAAAGAGGGTGAATTCACGGCCTTCGATGTAGTGTTGAGAATGCTGTGCAGCACAATACATAACTCAGAGTTCCCTACCGAATGTGCTGTACCTCGATTCGGTGTCTAGCAACTCTCTAGAGAAAAATACCGAAGGTTGCCAGGAGTTGTTAACTCATTGTTGTAAGACTCCTCCGATTGCTGAGTCAGATGCGTCTACTGCGATACTAATGGGTGCTTCGGTGTCCTGATGAGCAAGCGTTGTTGCTTTAGCGATAAGTTCCTTAATTGTGGAGAATGGTTTTCTTGTGGTCTCGTCCAGATTGATGGATTTCGCATTTCCACGAAGCTGGTCAACTAACGGTTTCATGAGTAACGCGCAATTCGGTATGAACCGTCTATAGAAACTTGCAAGGCCGTTAAACGTGCGTAATTGCTTGATCGTGGTCTGTTCTGTAATGTCGTCAGCAGTCATAGGGATTTGGTTATACGCTTTAACCAAGTTGAGTTTCGAAAAGACAGCTGTGCCTTTCAAGGTGGCTGTCAAACCATGAGTGTGAGGCAACGAGTAACGATCGGGAGTGCTTTTCACGTTCAATCGCCGATAGTCACCAGTTGGACGCCAATCGTTGCTGTCCTTTTTAGGGACCATGTGCAACGGAGATGCCCATGAGCTATTTGACAGTCCTATGATACCTAAGTCTATCATGTGGTCGAACTCGTTTTTCGCCAACCTTAGTTTTTTGGGGGCTAGTCGGCGGGCTTTAGAGAATACGGATGGTCCTGTAGTCATTATGTGATGTGTAACTTTGCTAGTTACACACGGTAATTTCTGTTACGTTTGGTATATCCTAGAATACTTATTGAGTAGTGGTTGATAGAATGGGTCTATCGTATGCTTAATTGTGACTGGAGATAATCTGTAACCACAAAAGGAATTTACGCGAATCGACAAATTAGTGTTTCTGTCTACTAGCCTCTGTTTGCGCGTATCGATGAGTAGATTATGGTGTTGTAGAAGGTCTATATCAATGATTGGCATAGAAACACCTGCAACAACGAAAATCCAGTGAATTAGTTTGCGTAAACCCACGTTAAGGTAAACGTACCTTTGGCCATACGTAGCGATAGGCTTTCCGTTTGCCTCCTGTAAGTTTAAAACTGATTCGTGAAGCCGATCGTTAGAATTCGCTGTGGGAACGCTAGCTTCTGCGCCAGTATCGACGAGGTAGTGAACTCTCGTTGTCACATCTGTGACGTACAATAGACGGCTATATTCGCCGGCTACGGTTGCCGTTAACACGTGCCGGCTTGGAAGTTTCTCGAATCGTTTTTCGTGTCGTTCGATTTTGAGTTTGGAAAATTGCGGGGTTGTCCGCAATTTATGGAGGGTTTTCTATACTGGTTTTGATACCAGCACCAGTCGGGGTTATCTGTCTCCCGTGATCTAGCGACAAATCGCCTACGTGAAGTGCTTCTTCGCGGGGTGTGTGGCCGTTTACGATCGTTACGAAATTTAAGATGACGTGCAAGGGTATGACATAACTCCGTTGTGTCATTCTGGGTCGTTTGAAGCTTTTCTTTGACTGAAAAAACCTCGGCATCAGAAGATTTCGTGATTTCTAGGATGCGGTCGGCAGATGCAGCCAGCTCGTCTAAGGCGTTGTTGTGAAACGAGACAAGTACAGCTCGCACCTGTTGAGGAAGTTTGGATCAGAAAAGTTGTTTGAATAGGCCATTATCGAAGGTTCTTTGGCCTATAAACTCTCTCGTCGGTTGCAACATGTCCGTCGCAGAACCTTGTTGCAGGTCGATGTTATCAAGGATTTGGTCTAACCTTTGTCTATCGGTTGGGTCTTCGCATTTAAGAATAGATCATTTAAGTGTTTCGTAGGGTTCCGAAGCATCACTAGTAAACATACTAGGTGTTACGTACCTGTTGAATTCGAGCGTTAGTGCCTTGACTACTGGGAGGAATTGTGCATGTGTGTCGTTCACGCCGTGCTCGCAGAAGTCGGCTCCGATGTTGTCTGGCCAGAAGAGCATTAGTTGGAACGAAGGTGGGAATATAGTCTTAAGCTTAAGTACTTTGGGTGTCTGTTCAGCCACGATGAAATGTGAAGTACGAGAATGAACGAGGGAAAAATATATATCCAAAAACACGAAAAAAATCACAACGTATAAAAAATTGAGATATGGCAATGCTATATAGTATCCCAAAAAGGAAGAGACTCACAGTTTACTATTTGGTATACCAGATGACGTTAGGCTCACCAGCGAAGACGCCACAGGTATTCGGAGTTTGACAACGCTTTAACCAGCGACACCCTCTGATATGAATCGTACCCACCAAGTGAAATCAAAAGACAGAAGCGAGGAGGTTCGAAGATATATTTGATAGGCTATCAATATATTGAGGATCGTCTGATCTAATCTGGCTAGTGATTACAAGGGTTGTTGAACACGACGTTTCCACTCGTGATCTGGTGCGGATGCATAACCGAGCGCCTTCAGCTAGGTGAGCATCCAATGTCGAAGATTTACGGAGCTGTTTATTTTGGGGATTTATTTACCGCTACAGGAGCAACTTTATGAGATGTGGCCCCATGGTAGACGGAGACCAACAACAGGTCCATGTGCCATTTATTCCCTCACGACCCTGCCCCCCATGTGCAACATGAGTGAGGGGCCAGTGTTTCTCAACTCTTCTACGTGGATAGTCCGTACCTACCACCAACCCAGTTAAAGTGCTGGACTTTCGCTTCCCGTCCACGCAATTTCGTAGACATTTGGGATATCTGTCTATCAAACTATGGTTATCTTCACTCATTAAACGACTTCTGGAAATCTTCACAGCGCAAGAAAAGTTAGTTCAGGACTAGTCGTCTAAAATGTTCATTAATGTCAGTCGAAATCTTCCTTAAACTGGACGGTTCAACAACAGGGCTGTGCATCATTTCCTGTATCTGTGGGAGCAAATCAACAGCCATTAGAGTCAGATGTCATTACATTTGCTGATATTACGCTGTCCTAATTTAATACAATCTTCAAAATAACAGATGTAACGTCAGATGTTCAATCGACAATTATTCAATAAGAAATTCGAAGTTTACACTAGAAAAGATACTTTCTATGATTCTAGACTACTTCATTATGCGGAACGCACGAATTCATACAAGCCAACACGGACATGACTAACCTCAAGCACTTCAAGCACGGAATGCTCAGCCTTAATTAGGCTGCTCCAGAAAGTAAAGGAGGTCGGTTTGACTGTAGGTTTACTTTCTATCAATCTCCGTTGTGAGAGGGGTTGTGGTATGTCTCTGCGTGTTACAGTTGGTCGTCTATCAAACTCGCTTGTCTTCCATCCCAATTTACTGATCCGTTATGCTTCCAGTGAGCCGACTGATGAGCAAGGTGGATTTACGCGGTCAATCTACTCCAAACCTATGGTACGTCAGTTGTAATAATTAGGCTTCATTAACTTAGTATAAATATGTTGTACGTGACGGGAAATCTGTTAAAATATATACTGGTTTGGTGACAAAATCGTCTCGTCCTGCTGTTAAATTTCGTGAACTTCTTCAGAAGGCATGGAGTACAGAAACTCTGACAGTGGATAGCCTCAGATCATTGTTGCTATCACGAATGAAGGAACGAAACCGACGAAGACAAATGTAATGCCTCCGTTTATTATTTACAGAGTTTCTGACAAAGACGTTGATAAACTAGGACTAGATATTGCCATAGCTCATATGGTGTGCAGTCTGGGCGGTCGCGTTCAGCTCATCGGTCACACTAGCTGGATTCAACCATATGCTGGGGTCCCTCCTATACTACCAAATAAATACGATGATGGTTTCGTGATCGAAAGCATTGACCTGTCAGGTACCAATATTGTATATGAAGGACTAGAGTTTTTACGTAAGTAAATGCTTTTGATTTGATTACCTTTACGTTTATTGGAAGTAACCGGCATGTTTCATATATTTTAACAGAACAATGGGAAGATAGAGTTTACCTGAAAAGTATGATGTATTTGCGCCACACATTCGGGACAATCTGGGCATGCATTTAATAGTCAAGGCATTATGCGAAAATTAGTGAAGGTCAATTAAATGAAGGTCCAAGTAAACAAAGTGATAATTGTAAGATGAGGTGAAAATCAGCGTCGTATGGTTAGAATAAGGAATTTGCGCACTGCCCTAAGCCGTAAAATGACTTAAGGATTCCCAGGGTAAATTCAAGGCTACGACAAACTATTTCTGTACACGTAAGAGGGGGTTGAATTTACAAATAGCCAAGGCTTAAGGCTTCTATAAACCTGAAGATTCATCCTTGACAATCTCTATACAGCTTTCTAAAAGCTGTATTGATGTCAGTTCTGTGCGTCGTTCCAATTATGTGCCTTGCTAACGATGGACATGATTTTCTACTTTCCACGTTTATCGGAGCATTTGACATTAACTAATTTTGAAGCCATCTATGCACATGTTTCATAACCCTTAATTGCATTGTTCGACTACTCTTCTCCATGTATCTATCTCAAATCTTTAATCTCACTATTATTTTATACCTGCTATTCCCTTATTCCACTCATTCTCAGTCCATATTCTCTATGTTTAGTTTTATTATGATCGGTATTACTGTTATCCTGACCCTTGCTATTTATCGTTTGCTGAGTTAGTGTCCAATAAGGTTGATGCACTTCTGTGCCAGGTGTCACGTTAGTTATGACTGCGTTCCCGTTAGTATTATGCCATACAAGGAAAAAGGGAGACTCCTTCGAACACAAAAGGGGATATTTTCTCCGAGATAACCTGATATGACCTCAAGTCTGTTATAAGGACTCAAGCAAAGTTTGTCAATAATCTTCAGGATAAACTTAAGAAAGAATCATCTTCTAAACTAACGGATGTTTGAAAGCTGATCATGACAGGCTTTATATATGGTAAAAGTTTGGAACAACCTAAACAATTACAAAATTAGTCTACATAGTGACCGTTAGATGTGTTGAACGTTGTTGCTGCCTTGACATGGTGGTCGGGCTTGCCTATCGTGATGAAACAGTCGAGCTATACTGGCTGGAACAATCGTTCCTCAAGGTCCTACCATGCCAGACAGGTCGGTTGAAGAACGGTAAGACTAAAAGCAACAAACCCAAGGTCAGAAAGCGATGTTGTACTGCTGACTGTACAGAGATGTGACGGCAGTAAGGTGTTTCCTTCAAACAACCAGCATAACAGCGATGCTGCCTTCTCACAAGGAGGGATGGGGTTAGAGAACGTTGACCCTAAAAATACACACCTCGCCTTGTCCCAAGGATATCCGTCTCCGGCGGTAAGGTCTCAACAAGTACGGAGCTAACACGAAAATTACTCACAAAGAGGTCGTGTGTGGCTGATCTCAAGCAGTTGTTCCCTGGGCACTGCGGTCACGCTCTCAGGTCACCAAGTCCATTTCTAATCCGATTCCCTTTTCAGGTACCTCCAGAACACCCCTTCCACGGTGTGGGCAACCGGGAAGTGATAACCGCTCTCACATCTCTAACAGCACTCAAGACCATTGTATTCATAATCAACCTCCCTCTTCAATTCCTATTATTCCTCCTACATCGACTTTCACCTCTAAACTTCCTTTTTCGGCTTCCCCCTTAAGTCACCATAGCCAACGATTCTAGTGCGCGAAACACTGTTCTAGGTCTACTGAAACCTCGCTCCACACTACACATTGGAGCCTTCAATGTACGCACCCTATGTCAAGTCGGTCAGCAGGCTTCCTTGGCTAAAACCCTAGAGTCTCTTACCATTGACGTGTGCTGTGTCTCCGAAACACGCATACAGGATTCCAGTGTGGTCATTCACTTGACCTCACCTTGGCAAAACGGAGAGCCAACGAGATACACCCTCCGTGTATCTGGTGACCCGATGAGCAGCTCTCGTGGACTGGCAGGAGTGGGGATAGCACTAAGCATGAGGGCGGAACAAGCACTGCTAGAGTGGATCCCCGTCAACAGTCGTCTACGTGCTGTTCGGCTAAACGGCTCCGTAAGAACTCGGAAGGATAGGGACACACGTCGTTGCCTTTTTGTCGTTTCTGCCTACGCTCCCACCGACTGCAGCTCAGATGAAATGAAAGATGAATTTTACAGAAACCTCTCTGAACTTCTTCAGAAAGCTAAACGTTCAAACATAGTACTCGTAGCAAGTGACTTTAATGCCCAGATAGGTAGTTTAAACCAAACAGAAAGGCATTTAGGTGGGTAATTTGTTGTTCCGACTCAGCGAACAGATAATGTTGATCGTCTGCTGCAACTGTGCTCGGACAATCGTTTATTTTTAGCAAACACTAATTTTAAGCATAAGGAGAGACATCGTATAACACGGCGACCCCCTGCACCAAACCAACGATGGACTCAAATAGATCATCTTACCATCAGTCATCGTTGGAGAGGGTCGATAAAATATTGTCGCTCATTCTGGAATATGTTTGGACTCCGGTCGTGCTCTTATACGGACACGCATCTGCTTGCGCCTCACTGGACGCAGGAAAGCCACACTGAGAAGACCCATTAGAATTGAATTAAGTGATGAGAAAGCCGAAAATAGATTCCAGGAACAACTGAGGTCACACTTAAGTAGTTCTGAAAACGAGGCTGACCCAGATGTTGCTTGGAAAGATATACAAACAGCTGTGGAAACAGCAGTGACATCTATTAGTGATTTAAACCAAACGGTTGCAAAAAACCAATGGATTCCTCTAGGTCTATTGCACTGATGGATTCTCGCAAACTTATCCCATCAGGCTCTGAACACGATGATGAGCGAAAGCGAATCAGATCTAGGTTAACCAAAAGTCTAAGGAACGACCGTGAGCAGTGATGGGTATCGAAAGCAAAAGAGATGGAAAAGGCGGCCGCTGTAGGTAACACCAGACAGCTCTTCAGACTCATAAAAGAGAATGAAACTAAAAAGTCAAGTGTAATTGAGACTATCTCGGAAAAAGACGAAACTCTTATCTGCTCCCAGTTCAGACGTTCAGAACGATGGGCGGAACACTTTAAGGAGCAGTTCAGCTGGCCTTCAACTAATCTACAACTACCCACCATCCCCAAACAGTGTGGATGGAACATCGAGGTAGATCCCATGACTCTAGCTGAAGTTCATAAGGCTATAGCTAATCTGAAACGAGAATGAGCAGCTTGTCCAGATGGATTGGCTCCAGAGGTCTTTAAGTATGGTGGTCCAATTTTAGCGACAATGGTGGTCTTTCTTGACCTAAAAACAACATTTGACTCTGTAGACCGAGAGGTTCTGTGGCAGTGTCTGTCATTGAAAGGCGTACCTCAGAAGTACATAAACCTTGTGAAGGCTCTTTACTCGAACACTACTAGTCGAGTGAGAGCTTATGGCGAACTGTCATCTGTTTTTGCAACCTCAAGTGGTGTCCGTCAAGGCTGTCCACTTTCCCCATTTTTGTTTAACTTCATCATAGATCTACTGATGGAAATAACTTTCTCGTCGACTGAGTTCTCGGGTATTGATCTCTTTCAAGGAGGTCAACTTATCGACTTAGAATACGCAGATGGCATAGTCCTGTTTGGTGAAGACACTGATAAAATGCAGTCTTTTGATAGCATGGAGCAACAATGCCAGGATGTTTGACATGCGTTTATCCCCTCCAAATGCAAGTTGTTGCTGCAGAATTGGTCTGCGTCAACACCTGAACCAAGCATACGGAGTGAGGTAATCGAACGCGTTGACAACTTCACTTATCTTGGAAGTCTGACTAGCCCCAATGGGTTGGTGTCTGACGAAATCTCAGCACGGATTCAAAAAGCTCGTTTATCTTTTCTCAACTTACGTCACCTATGGCGCAGGCGAGATATCCGTCTATCAATTAAGGGACGAGTGCACTGCGCTGCAGTTTGTTCTATCTTCCTTTACGACTGAGAAACATGGCCATTAAGAGTAGATACTCGTAAGCTACTAATATTTGACCGCAGATGTCTTGGAAATATTGCTCGCATCTGCTGGGATCATCGGGTAAGTAATGGTAAGGTTAGACGCAGAGTATTAGGGAACGATGGTAAATCAGTTGGTGAGGTTGTAAATCTTCATCGACTGAGATGGTTGGGCCACTTGTTATGTACATCGATTACCACGACGCGCAATGCTGACTAGTGTTGGGGATGGTTGGAAGAAAGTTAGGGGTGGCCAAACCAAAACATGGCATCAGTCCTTGAAGTCACCAACTTCTGGTCTGAGCCTTGTTGGTAGATGCAGGCTACTTGGTTGGGGTCCGTGTGACTATCGTAACCAATGGTTGGAGACTCTGGCTGACATGGCTCAGAATCGATCACAACGGCGTAGGTGTATACATTTTCTGTCTTCCCTTAAACCGTGATATTAAAATTACCTTTCTTTCTACGGACTAATTCTTTCTTCCTTTACTATATCCTTATATATAATCTTTTTTATATATTACCACCATTGAATTAACCACTTCTATGAATCCGGTGTTCATCTTGTTGTGCTAATGCGGTGTGGCAACTTGGACCGATGTATATATGTGCCTGGTCCTACGTTTTAACTGACTGACTGAACGAAATAAGCGAAAAATGTGTAGATAGCAACGATGAATAACAGTGGACTCAAGAAGACCGGATTTAATAGTTTGGTATATAAAACAAAATACTGGTTGGTTCAGTCCATTTCACTGAGGCAGTAAGCAAGGAATTTGTGCAGGCAACTCTCGTTATCTTCAGTTTTCTTATAGCCGTCGATGGACCTTACGTGCAACTCCTAGCAAAATTAGAAAAGCTGTAATTCAGTTAAGGCTGGCGAGAGCGTTAGGGAATGATTATTCAGTTTGATAGGTAAGCTTTCCAGGATTACTAAGTGACTAATATGGACCTTAGGACCCTTGCCTCCCGTCACGAGTCAGTTTGAGTTCGAGTCTCAGGAAATCAAGCTGCTCCTAGACTCCGCTGTGGATACCTTAGTCGGAACTTTTAATGTAGTTGTCCTCCGTAGTCTGAAGGAAGTCTATCGATCGAGATACGTTATAACAGTATTTGACACCGTTTCACTTCTCAGGGATTGGTCTTTCACCTACATATTTCTGATGGAGATGGGATATCCATGTAGTGGTTCTCAGCACATAAAAACACGCTAGTTTTTCACGCGACTTCCGCACGACATGACCATAAAATGTATTTTGACCGACGTGTCATTGCTTAGTCTAATTATCGATAGAGATGAAAATAGTTGTGTTAACCATTCTACGTATTTTGAAAGTTTAAGTAACGCTGATAAAGTCTCGTCCTACTGAGTTCTACGAACTATGACCAAAGCAACTGAAAACTTTGTGTAATTTCAGAAACGATCTACGCCCAAACATTGTCCATATTACCACATGGGTAGATGGAAAAATAACTCAGTTTGGCTTGGTCAAGACAAGCAGTTAATCCAAATTAACTTTGGTGTTCTGCAAACTTCCTTTCTCAGGTCTTCGAAATAGCTATAATCCATGGTTGAAAACTCTGGGTTGTAGGTTTTCAAGCTGTTCGTTCAAATTTTGACAAGTGCTCACATAGATTCTAGTTTGTATGCTTAAAAATCAGTTTTAGCGACCCAGATTGTATTGTATTGATGTATGTATTGATTTTAATTTGGTGCATTAATATATACAAAATATAACTTATTTACTTTATAGCCTGTTTAACTCATCTAAGGTACTTAAAAATGAAAAGATGTATACATCTTGATGATTTTTGCTTGTCGAGAATTGGACGTATCAAAGGATTACAATTTCTCGATGTCAGTGAGTGCCCTACTATTACTTCAAAAGGCCTAGCGACATTGGCACACTTAAAGTAAGTGGTCCAGTGAAATTTTGGCAATTTGCTTAAAAAGAACTAGAAGTTATTGTTTACATTAATAACGTTGATTAAGTTTTCCCGTCAATAAACTGTTTGTCTATATTTTTTTCCAGAGCTTTACGCCGCCTAATAGTGAGTGGAAACCCACAGATTGAAGACAAGGAATTAGTTTGCCTCCTACTAGAAGATCACTTACCAAAATTATACATTGACGGTGTTGACTACATCGGTCAACTACCTGATAAATCAAAAGAAAAGATCTTAAGGTTAGTATCTAGAAACGAAAAGTTTACTCAAACACAAAACGAGGAGACCAATGTAGACAAAGTTTATTTGATTGACAAAGCATAGAAATGTTGTCAAGTAACATATACCCATATTATATAATGTACATAAAAGTTATCACAATTTAATTTTGTTAATCACTCTTGACTAACTGCTGGAATAGTATTCATAATGGAGACATTTGGCTCCGTTCGAATTGTGTCTATTTGTTCCATAAAATCGTCCAACTCACATGTATAATCTCGATCTAAACTCCAAAACTTCCTTACCTTAAAAACGAAAAATAAGCAACACAAGTCCAAATAAGATTTTAAAAAATGTAGCTGTTACATAAACAATTACACTAGGGGTGCACAAATTCTAAGCAAGTAGTGCTCTTTTGAACTAATCTAATTTAATAAAGTGGTTATTTCATAAAAACAAATCCATTGATTAGATACTGTAGACTAATAGTACATCACGTGGCGTTATTGCTTTTTTCGAAAAAAACGTCAGTCAGTCAGTCAGTTAAAACGTAGGACCAGGCACATATATACATCGGTCCAAGTTGCCACACCGCATTAGCACAACAAGATGAACACCGGATTCATAGAAGTGGTTAATTCAATGGTGGTAATATATAAAAAAGATTACATATAAGGATATAGTAAAGGAAGAAAGAATTAGTCCGTAGAAAGAAAGGTAATTTTAATATCACGGTTTAAGGGAAGACAGAAAATGTATACACCTACGCCGTTGTGATCGATTCTGAGCCATGTCAGCCAGAGTCTCCAACCATTGGTTACGATAGTCACACGGACCCCAACCAAGTAGCCTGCATCTACCAACAAGGCTCAGACCAGAAGTTGGTGACTTCAAGGACTGATGCCATGTTTTGGTTTGGCCACCCCTAACTTTCTTCCAACCATCCCCAACACTAGTCAGCATTGCGCGTCGTGGTAATCGATGTACGTAACAAGTGGCCCAACCATCTCAGTCGATGAAGATCGAAAAAAACAGCGAACAAACGATTGAATCGAAGATAAAAGATATACCAAATCGGGACCGCAAAATGCACAAGTTCGAAGCATACTAAGAGTTATTAGGAATTCCCACATAGAGTTAGAAAAATATGTTATAATTCACAATATGGAAATTTTTTATAGTTCAAAGTCATGTTGGGATCTGATTGCGTTTAAGGTACTCATTGAGTTCCCAAAGTCTAATGCTCGTCTCACACAAGCGAGAAATTCGTTGGAAGGTGTTAGTGATTGAATATTAAAAAGTGTTAAACTGACTTCCGAAAAGTGCCGCCTAAGTATTGGCGGATATTAGTTGTTGCCTTCCACGAGCTTGGTTCCATTCAAACGAACTAGACTAACAGTAAATTATTAGGTTAGTTAGATGAATCAGTGTGGACACCTGGTGATTTCTCCACTCTAGTTTCTACTGTATTCACCTGGTTTAATTTTTTCGATAACCATGGCTTCAATAGAACGCAATAAACCCAAAGTTATTGGATTATTGAATCCTATGAAGGATCTTTGAACTATCAACGTTCTATCCACAATCAAGCAGATGACAGGTGCTATGTTTGAAGAGATAACGAGTTTACCAAATTTGAGAACGGAACGAAGACTCTGATACAATGACAAATAAGCTAGCTATTCCGACGCGTTCTAGCTCCGCTAACTAGCGAGAGGAGTCCAAGTTCGGAAAAGGGAAATACATTCCACAAGCAGCCAGAGCACGAGCAACAACAACAAGCACAAATCAAGCGTGTATATACAAGGTGAAATAAAGTCAATTCTAAACGATCCATAGAGACTGTAGATTGAAAAAGTAAAAAGGATACATTTGACAAATTCAACCCAACCAAGAATCATACATTTATATTCAAAGAATCTTTCAAAAAAGACATTAGTTAATAGCCCTATCTTTTTTAAACTGTTTCCCATTTCATTATATAATTTTAATTTAATCAACTGAGCTTAACTAACACTCACTAAAAACTTTTAACTCCTAATTATACCCTAACTAGTGTATACATTACTTCTTTCAAATACTACTCTTTTTGCTACTATCCTAAACGATAGAATCTGCCTTTGATAAAATGATATTTTATTGTAATGTCTTAATTCGATATTGCCTTCCTATACATTATTTAGATTATCTAATAATCTTCACTGATCAATGTCTTTTAAAAAAAATAAAAGTATGTAAAATTTCCCCTTTAGTTTTAAACAGAACTAAATAATATTACAAGTTTTAAGCAAAACTGAACTTAACAAATTCAAACGGATTAATTGTTGCATCCTATCAATTAGACCACTGATCAAATATGAAGGTCCTTAAGTTAATGGGGGAAATTTGTAGCTCAGAGGATGACTTGGGTGAGTTTCCATTCTCTGAGAATTCGAAAGTTTAATCATGAAGCTTTCATTGTCTTACTGGATAACATTACCAACAAAAACTTCACCTAGAAGTAGATTATTCGAATTTCTCACATATGACTGACGGCTTATTCCGTTGACCCCAATCTTAATTGGTTATTGTTGACAATTAACCTGTCGTTATCTGCATATTCTTCCTAACTGCCACTACCATTCTCTTGAATTTTAACTTTAGACTTATCCATAACTTTTTTAACTGGTTGGCAAATTGAGTCAATTCCGATGTGCATGTTGATTAATGATTGACTTAAGTGCTAAACTTCTAGAAATCCTCTAGTCTTCTTCGTACTTCCTTTGTATAACATCTCAAAATATTCCCAGTCGAGTGTGTATTCACAATTCTCCACGTGCATTGATATAAGTGAGGATATGCGATGGGGTTTGACAGCTATCAAGTGGTGTTTATGCACACAAAGAAGAAGGTGACACCATACAATGTAGTGTTTTTCGTAGTTGGACCAGTTTATTTTATAGATGATGTTCGCCATTCCATCCCTTGGCTTGCATAAGACTGATATTTCTTTCGAAAATGAGTATCAAATAATACTATATATATAATTAACAGTAAAAAGGGTTAGAAGCCTGAATTATTTGTGGATCAGTGATCCAGCATAGGGAGATCAGATGGATAGGTGGAAAATAATAAGATGGGATAACTTGATCACATCGTCGACGACGTGGAATTCTCTGGGACGACGTTCGTAGAACATGTCCAAGACACAGAAGTCGATTTTTCAAGATGGTGGCACCAATTGGATTATCATCTCTGTGCTCGAACATACGATGCCGAACCTCTGCATTACTAACATGATGTTGCCACTGAATGTTAGCAACCCTCCGGAGACAACGATGATCAAACACAGAGATTCGTCTAACATCCTCACTTCGGAGAGGCCAGGTTTCACAAGCATAGAGCAAAACTGCTCTCACCAACGCTTTGTAGATCCGACCTTTTACAGCCAGACTGAGATCACAAGGGCGCCAAAAATGGCCTAGATTGATGTAAGTCTCTCTGGCTTTCAATATACGTGAATTGATCTCATCACTTACACAGCTACCCGGATAAACGAACTTCCCGACTACTTTCATCTACTCACCACCCAGGGTGAGTGCAGGATCAGGGTCCCGCCAGTCTTATGGAGTTAATTTGCACTTAGAAGATGCAAAACACACGCCATACCTACGGACATTGGTCGTCAACTGATTAAGTGTGGATTGCATGGCTTGGGCATTATCGCACAGTAAGACAATACCATCCGCATACTCAAGGTCGAGAAGTCTTTCTCCAGGTAACAGGTCTACATCACCATCACTTACATCCATCAGAGCTGTTCCCAGAACGTCATCGATAGCAAAGTTGAAGAAGAATGGTGAGACCTAACCCCACTGCTTGAGTGAAGCAATGGAGAAAGGTGGTTGTATGCCCTCACTCTACCTGAGGTGTTTGTGTATAGGGCCCCAATAGCACATCTCAACCTCCCGGATTAAAAAATAAAATGGAAGCTAAAGGTTAGAATGAAATTCTCAGTGGAAATTATGCCCTTACACGCAGTAATAACTCATCAAATAAAAAGAAAAATACCCGACAATGCTTATTACCGCACCCATATTGAACACTGAGAAATGGATAGGCTACAAACTCACGGACACGTATCTTATCTCTAACCAACACGAAATAATGAATAAGAAATAAGTTGAAAATATGGTAAGAAGAAAATCTCGCAGTAGTGTTACATTACTAACTTCATCAATATACGCTTTAGCATCCAAGTACAATTGATGACGAATTTTATCATCTGAGTGAAATCCACTACTACCATTGACAGATTGAGGTTGGTTGAAAATTTGGGAACTACTACGTCTAACTTCACGTAATCGCCGTATACTATCTTCCATTTTTCGCACTGATGTAGACACTTCTGATAGTTGAGCTGTATAGCTTTTATTTGATAATGTAAGAAAAATGATACATGAAAAGTTAGACCTATTAAATAAAACTAATTAGTTATTACCAACTGTATAGAAATCTGCAGAAAAAGTGTATACAATTGATTGATAATTAAGTGCAGTGGTCAATATTATTTTCGTCTGGTCCTTTAGTGCCAGTTGGATTCTATCGATCAAGTTTCAACATGCCCGCCAGTCTAAGTGACTCCACATCAAATAACATCTTAAACAGATGTATATATGTACCAGATTCTATGTTGCGTATAATTGATTAACTGGCTGCATGTACTATATATTATTAAGACATTATTTAGTTGGAGTTTGTCGAGAGGAAACCCTGAACAGACAAGCACACCGCAACTTGGTCGATAGAATTCGATCAACATATAGGACTAGACAAATATTATATCGCCTACTACTTAGTGGTCGACCATGTCAGTCGCAGCCCGAATAGCTCAGTGATAACGTCTCAAACTGTGAAATTGGATGGCGGAGCATCAGGTCCCTTAGGATTGCACGTACTCCATGTTGACGAGTGCCAACAAGCACGAAACCTAGGTCCAAGGTATTCTGTCGACTACCTCTAACTATTTAACACTAAGAAAATGCATACAGAATAAATACGCTTTGAGAATACAAGATTTCAACTAAATGATATATAATATTATTGCGAATGGAAAAAAGTGT